TGATGACGAAACTGAATTTGGCTCCGTTAGTGAAGCATTTGGGAACAAGGCAGTGAAGGTCTTAGGAACAGAGCCCCTGAAATGCTTCCAAAATAAGCAGGTCATTGACTTGGATTAGTCTTCCAAAATTCCTGCAATGAGAGCATAATGTGGCTATCTTCTAATGTTGCAGCCGTCTGTTTTCACCGGATTTGACTGGCTTCATTGTTGTCATGTCCTGTGCGGCTGTGCTCAGCCGAGTACATGAATTTGGAGGTATGGGAAGGTAAGTATGGTATGTTATTTGCCAAAATTTGTGCTAGTCAGACTCACAGATACAGACCCTCATTTACCAGTCTTGCAAGCGCGGTCAGTTTGTAAAGCTGTTTAACTGACCACAAAGCTTCTCAGTTTTGATAAATTTTCTTTTTTTCTTTTTTCTTTTTCTTTTTAGTTGAATAGATGATACAGTAGAACCTAGTCAAGCATTACATGATTTTGGAGTTGGGTGGTACATATTTTTTTTATCGGATGTTTGGAAATGCTAGGTTATAGATTTTTCACAAATCTTATAATTTGTAGATGCTTAAATTGCCCTACCGTTTACAATGATGATGCGATCATCTAGATAGATACCAGGTGGAACCGTGGAAGTAAATACATACAAGAAAGAGCGTAAACATCTAACAAGGTAGATTAAGAAAAAGTAACGGCGTAAGAAGTCTTTTACATAATACTCGAAAAATGATATTAGGGAACTATAATGTTGTTATCGCAATGAGCCAATGAGGTCGATTATGAAAGGTATAGGTCTTTAGGAAACAATCTCTCTACTAGTAGTGTCGCGTTATGAGTTATAACCGAGCCATCCTGAACCCCGACATTGGTACATCCATCCTAAAGACATTTGTGTACTTGCATATAGAGTTGCATGATGATTAATGGATAGCCAAAGAGCAAGTGCAAGCAATATAGCTAGCCATGTTACAAATTTGCAATGAACGTGTTGAAAAAAAAGTGATCAAGTTGGCCGACATTGAGTGTGACAAAATTGACATCTTGAATAGAGAAAAGGATAGAATATAAATAGGTCTCAATTAGCATTTAGTAAGGAGGATCTTATATTCTTTACAAATTGGCATTTGGTATGTTATCAAAGACTATTAACGGTGGGAGAGGATAAGAAAGGAATGAATGAGGGGAGTGGAAATCAATGCATTAGTGTCCTCGTTTGTGTCAATTTGTTGGTAAAAGTCTTGTCACTAATTTAGCTATTATTTGTCTTCTATGCACCTAATTTGAAAATTTTCATATTGTTATATAGTTACCATCTTTTATAGAACTCTAATCAAGGAGTTCATATCATCTGACACTTCATAAGTGCAAATATGTGTGTGGCGAGTATAAGATATATTACTTGTTTGATATTTACACTTTATTTAGATTGAGAGAATTGAAGGGAAAGGAAGAAAAGGGAAAATAAGGGATTTATCGATATACCATATGATAAAAGAGAAGGAAAAAGAAATGGAACGATTCATTTTTCCCCTCCTTTATTAAACCAAATTCTTTTAATGTTGGAAAGATTTGGAGGAAAAAAGTAACCCTATCTTCTCACTCCTTTTCCTTTCATCTCCCACCATTCCTTCTTCCCTCCATTCCCTTTCCCTTACGCTTTGCTATCCAGGTATAACTATTTTACACGCTTTCTAGAATGTATATACACTCAGATTTATGATAGACAAAGTATGAAGATATGTTATAATAAAAAAATTAGTTTACAATTTAATAATTTTGTTATAATAAAAGTTGTTAATTTAATATTTCACCTACAACTTTGTTTACATTAAGTCTCATAATCAATACTAATAATTTTTCCTTTTTTTCCCCCTCTTGGCTCGATCATATTGACCGATCATTATTTTTCACCTATTATAATTTTTGGACGCAAGTTCCCACCTAAAAACAAGATTATTTTAGCTAATTAGTTCAAGTTATTTAGTAACTTTCATCGTTTTGATTGTGGTATATTGACCCTTATTAGGCGAATTAGCCATTTCCAATAATATTAGTAGGTGATAATATATTGAATTGTTCCAACTATTGAGGAGAAGTGGGGCAAAGAAATACTATTAACAAATGTATAAAATCTTGGAAGATGAGTGTTATTTCATCCACGCGGAATCTTTACCATGAACACAACAATAATTTTAGCAATAATTTAATTCGTAAATCACTAATTAATGAGTTTTTAATAAGTAATCGTACATACTTGTGTTACAAGTTCCAAGGTCACAAATTGTTGTTTGAATATTGTTAATATGTTCCTTCCATATTAGACATTTAGACAAAATAATTAAACCGAAGATTAGAGGTAAGCATGTGGTTTATAATAATAAGTTGCAAGCATAATAATGTAAGGTACATTGCATTAATATTTCTTTTAGTTTTTGATGGTGTTGCGCTAGTAGTTGTCCACAACAATCTTAGCCATGCAAATTTCCTATGACTTGTGAGGGGGATTAACCAATATGATACCTCCTCCCCCCCCCCCCCAAAAAAAAAATGAAAAAAAAAAAAATTGATACCTTTCGCTTAAAGGATGGATTTCTTTTTATTATTATCCCTACCTTTTAAAAAGTACATGAGATAATTCTTATTAATAGTGTTATTATCTACTGTAATACCATCTGTATAAGACTAACACGTGTGACAATTCATCATCGAGCATTTTAACCAAAGAAACATAATCCGTGTAAATTGTAACAACAACAATAAACACTTTAATTTGCTCCCCACTGAAAGTCTTTAAGACATGCATTCATCTCCGTGTGTAAGGCCAATTGAGCCAAATCGTGGGCCGTCGCTCCCCTTAACTAACATATCTTGAATACCAAATTCAATAGTTTCTAGGCACCACCTCAATCCCTATCGATGTGCAGTGTATGTTTATTCCATGAGCCATATACCAATATTGGAGTTGCAAAAGCACCACCCCCACCATCATTCGGTAAAATAGCCCGTATAAATTCACGATAATGTAATAATGAAAGACATGTAGAATTAGAAGCATAAAAATTTTAAATGGTAGAGATTCATTATACCACATCTACTTCCTCCGTAAACATTGATTGCTACAAAGGAATATTTCATGTCTCACAAAAAATACCCATTTGTTGCAATTAATTTCTTAACGGAGGAAGTAATTCGAATGTGACATTTATAGTAAATGAAATGTTATAGTGTAGTGGTTGATTAAAATTTGACTACCATAATGTTTTAATAATTATACTTCGTACAATTCATTATTGAATTTTTCTTCACAAAATAAAGTATATTTCTTTATTTTTGATATAAAATTGTATCAATATTTTTTTTATTTATCCAATTTTTAGTTTCATTTATGCAATTTAAATATTTATTTTATAATTTCTCGATATTTTTTATTTTTTATTACACTATTCAACAATTATGTTTGTGTTGTAGCTATTGAAAGACTAATTGTGTTCATATTATAATGTTAAAAAAATGAACTGATTATATAGTATTTTATCATTAAAATACTATGGTAATCAATAGTCATATTTCAACCGACAACTATATCAACATTCAATTATTATTATTATTAATCTACTACTTTTCCTTACAAATCCTAGAAGATAGAATTACATTGTTGACATTGATTGGGTCAGTCAATCATAATAAAATCATTGATTTTAAGAAGAATTTATCCAATATGATATGAAAAGATGGGATTTTCCAATTCCAATATAATAGAATGTTGATTTCGTTTTCACAATAAATCTTCCAATATCATCACTAATAGATCCACGCATGCACACCTATCATTAAATCCTTTTATAAATACACAACCGGGTGTATATACAATAATAAATGAGCAGAAGATATCCTTGGATGAATCGAGTGTATATAAAATATTGAACCAAATAATTTCTATGCCAATTAGGCAATCAACCCCTTCTTTCCCCCCTACTATATACTACCTTCAGTCCAAATTACTCGTAATTTTGGGTTATTATTTGTGAGATATAAAATATTCCAAAATTGCGAGTAATTTGGACCGGAGGTAGTATATAACATGAACATTTGTTAAATAAACCAAAAAAAAGTATGAACAGTGCTTTCATAAGGAATTAAATTGTAAAAAACTAAAAATCCTCAACTTTTCACTGTTGTTGTCCAAGTATAGAAAATGCATAATGTAAATTAAATTACAGTACATTTTCTGTGTGACCGCCTGACACACACCAAAATACTGAATAAGTAACCCTTGACTCCTTGACCGAGTAACCCTTTATTGACCAAATAACCTTGTCCAAGTAAGCACGATTGTCCAAGTAAGCACGACTGTTCAGTGTGATCAGTCATATATGAAATTGTTTATGAAACTAATTTTCTTTATTTCGTACTCCCTCCATTTTTAAATACTTGTTCTATTTTCCTTTTCCGGCTGTTTTTAAATACTTGCTCCATTTCCTTTTTTGGAAATATTTTACAATATTTAATTCATTTCTCACACTTAGGCCCTGTTTGATTCACCTTAATTTTGCTGAACTAAAATTATTTTTACTGAACTGGACTTATTTTTACTGAACTGAACTTAATTTTACTGAATTGAAATTATTTTACCGAACTTATATTATTTTTTTAACTGAAACTATTTTTACTGATTTTCTATTATAATTCTTCTTTAAGAAAACTGAACTTTACCGAACTAAACTTATTTTTACTGAAATAAAATTAATTTTACTGAACTGAACTTATTTTTATTGAACAAAAATTATTTTTACTTAATATTTTTTTTTTTAAGGTGAAGAGAACAGGACCTTAGTGGACCCAACTTCTCTCTCTCCTCCTATTCTTCCATTACTTTTGTTTTTTACAATTTTTTATTTTTACAACTACCCCACTACTTTCATATTTTATTACTTTCTTCAATTTTTCCTAAAACTCTATCCAATGAGAAAATGGAGCAAGTATTTAAAAATGGAAGGTATAGTAAATACTTGTGAAAAAAAGGGAAAAAAGAATAAAAATGGCCCATATATATAAATATCACCGATTCACCATTACTGTGTTGAATGTCCGAACTAACTTGCTTTTGTGACCGAAACTCACACATCCCTACCCATTTTCTCTTTCTCTCTCCTCTCTCTTTCTTTTCATAATTTTGTTCTTGCCTCACATAAAAAAACCCTTCTTCCTAGGAAAATAAACAAACAAAAGCAAAAATTTATAAAAAAAAATGTCTTCTCCTAGCAAGCGCCGTGAGATGGACTTGATGAAACTGTAAATACCCAGAATTAATTTATTTTTTGATTGATTTTCTATTATTTTTTAATCATGAATTTGGATTAAAATTTGGGTTTGTGTTTAATATTGTTCAATTTTTATGAACTAGGATGATGAGTGACTATAAGGTGGAGATGATCAATGATGGCATGCAAGAATTTTATGTTGAATTTCATGGACCCACTGACAGTATATTATCTAAACTCCTCTGATTTTATTTTTAGAAAATGATTGAATGTTATTGTTTAATTTTATCATGTTTGTAGTTGAATTTATCAAATTTGTGTAATTATTTTTCTGGGTTGTGGTTATTTTTGTGTTTTGATTTCTGGGTTATGAGTTTTGGTAGAATTAGCAAAAAAAAGTTGCCAGTAACTTCAGTTCATCTAGTTTGTACTTTTAATCTTCAATGTTTGAGTGAACTTAGTTTGATTCAGTGTAGGAAGATCTTAATCTAAATTAATCCCAACTATTTTTAATTATAATTATGATCAGTTGTTTTTTTGACTGCGAAATCTGCTGCTATATATCATAAATTCTTGATCTATATATACTTTTCAATGTGCAACATTTAGCTTTATTTGTGTTTTTATGTGTTCACTTTACTGGATTTTTATGTGTCTCAAAATCTGCTAGAAATGAAATTATTAGCTTGTAAAACATTGTTCATATCTGGTAGGTCCTTATCAGGGAGGTGCTTGGAAGATAAGGGTGGAGCTTCCTGATGCCTATCCATACAAGTCTCCATCCATTGGTTTTATCAACAAGATATATCACCCCAATGTTGATGAAATGTAAGTCTACTGAATACTGATGCATATGTAATATGTATGTTGAGGGTTATGTTACTCCGACTTTTCATTTTACCACAAGTACCCGTGTCGGAGTGGCTGCTAATCTGCTATGGAAGTTTTGTTATGTCTTTTTTGAAAGGTTCACTCTATATGATTAAGAATGCCTCACTGGCACTGACATTCTCTTGCATCTAATTGTCAGGTCGGGGTCGGTTTGTTTGGATGTTATCAATCAGACATGGAGTCCTATGTTTGGTATGAATATAAGTGCATCTTTTTGTTTCACGGTTTAAATGGGTTGAGTACTTTGCTTTTATAGTTGGGTTGAGTACTTTGCTTTTATAGTTGGACAGTTGTTATCTTTGAAGCTGATATAACGCATATTGAATTTGTTGCAGATTTAGTAAATGTTTTTGAAGTGTTTTTACCTCAACTTCTGCTGTATCCTAACCCATCAGATCCCTTGAATGGGGAAGCTGCAGCCTTGATGATGCGTGATAAAGCTGCTTACGAGCAGAGGGTGAAAGGTAATGCTTAAGGCCTTTTTAAAGCTTCATTTCATTGCCTTTCTTGCGTGGCATTATGAGGCAGTTGAGCTGTACATTTTTTTTTCTGAACCTATTTGCTAACCTTCCTTTTCAAATATTTCAATCTTAGTTATTTTCCCCCCTGATTGTCTAGATTACTTTTTTTTTTTTTTTTTTGACAAAGATTGTCTAGATTACTTTATACTTAATGAAGTTCTGCCAACAACTATTGCACAAGGCAGGGGAGGTCCAAATATATGTATGTTTCTCCTACTTAGTGTAAACCAGTAAAAAGATTGAAGATATTTGCAATAATCCTTCTCTGATATCTTTTCCAATCCTAACTTCTCAGGATTAGGCTTTCCCTTTTTTCATTTATTTAGAGTCTATGTCCCATGTGGCTAGCCCTAGTCCAACTCAATTTGACACTCTTTAAGTCCAAATTATCCCTTCAAAGCTCTAACTTGCCATTTGACTTCACTTTTATCACCAAAATATACGCAATATGTGAGTATTATAAACTATGACTCTTAATCCCCCCCCCCCCCTTTTTTCCTCATTCTTCCAAGCGAGCTCATTCGTAACTATTATAATATTGGAAAACATTCCAAGATGATCTATGATGTAACCTTATGTTTTCATCACACAACTTTCACACTAATCTTATTACCTTTACACTTATATCTGATAGATGGAACATATATGTTAAATGTACCTCCTTTGTCTCTTAGCATATCCGTAAAATTCTCTTGGCACTTGGTCATACGTGTTTTGGAAGTCAAAGTCACCATGTGTAGGATCCCTATATATTTTCATTAGACATTTGACTGTACAAATTTGCTAGTCAAGGAGTTTCTCCCTAAACATTTCCTAGCTTCATATTGGTGGATTTTCCCTTGATGCACTTCACTTAATCAAAGGTTTTTGGTTTTCTGCTACTTGACTCTGGCCTATTTGAATATGTTCTCTCCTTTTTTTTGTTCAATCTTTGCTGCAACATGCAAGTTCTCTTATGCCATGGTTTAAACTTTGAACTGAATCCTTTATCTTCCTTGTTGGTTCAATTCTTCCTCCTTTTTCTACTAACTAGAAATTTATTTTCTTCCTTTTGTTTTTTTCTTTGTGTTGGACCACATCTCATCACCATGTCTCCTTCCAATTCATCAAATTCTTATTAAAACCCCAAAATTACTCAAACTTAAACCTCTTTGCAATACTTTCTCGCTTCCAAATTCCAATTGGCCTAATCTTCTTTTTTCTAAAAAATTCTTGCCATCACCTTGGTATGGATTGAGTGACATTGCTACCTTCAAAGCTCCACCATTTCACTATCATACTTTGACAGTTCTTTCTGTTTCCCAGCTCTTGACTAACATGTTCCTAACCAAAGATATTGGATTTGGTATCACTAGGAGAAATTTGCAATCCTTGAATCCCATCCATCACCTGGATAAAGATGCAACAGAAATGTGTCTTTGCGTTGTTCTTCTTAAATTTAATATGCATGCTACCTTTAATGATAATGCTTTGAGGACGATAATTGGAAAAAAAGTGTGAATACAAAGTTGTTTGATACTTTTGATTTTTTGCTGATCATGATTCTGTAATTTCTAAAAATAACCTCAGGATGACAATGTATTTGGACGTCATCACTGATATTTACAATTCTTATTTTGCTGATTATAATGCTTCCCTTTTTAAAGAAAACCTCAAAATGGTAATTATTTTGGACATTTTCACTGGTTTCAAACTTGTTGATATAGTATTAGTTCTTAAACCTAATTTCTTAACATATGGTTTTCATTAAAAATTCATTGGTATTAATATGCCAATAAAGCACACTGCTACTTTGAGGGTTGTCTTGCTGCAGGGTGGTGCTGATTATCCAAGCCTTTATTCTTTGTGAATAAATATTCAAAAGACCTTTTTTATTTTATTTTTTTAATACTCTGTTTCTTAATTTATTTCATTTTTGTTTTTAATTTTTCGGTCTTAATATTGTATCTATATTTTCACTTATCTAAAATAATAGTCCTCATATTCTCATGTCGATGTAGGGATAAAGTCATAAAACTACCTTGGGGAGGTTTTTCTGTCTCATCTTTGCTGCACTGTTTCACTTCTGTTGGTGGCTTTACTTCCTCGCTCTTAAAACCCTTCCTTTACCATGACATTAAATCTGTCCATTTAGATCAGAAAAGTAGTGGACATGGGGGTTTTATATGTAAATGACTTCCCAACTATCTGCTTTGCTTTTGATTGCAGATTTTAGAAATTGCTGGTATACACATTGGTTGTTCATCTAACTAAAGTTGGAGTAAAAGTCTTGATTTTGAAGATAGCATTTGTGCTGCTTTTTTGTGTTGAGCATTGAAGGAAAGGGATTGTGAGCAAGGAATAGTTACCCGGTTCATCATAATTATTTTTTTGGCTTTCAAGATGCTAAAACTTAAGATAGGGTGTGGCTGTCAAGAATGACAAGCTCTGGTACTGGTTGTCTTTACTGGGTATCAAAGTTTGATTTCTGTTGATAATCTTTTAGTATACCTTAGTACTTTTATCTGAAGCATGGTAGAGTACTGAAATTGGATCCTTGAACTTCCATCTTGACAAGATGTTATCTACATATTAAAATATGGAGCGTAAGCACAGTTGCTAGCTCAGCTAGGCAGGGCATCTTGTTAGAAATTCTCTGGTGAGATTTCTTTTAGCGGATGCTTTCATCGTCTTTTGTGAAGATTGTGAATGTTACATGGAACATTTACCATCGGTTTCCTTTTGGGCCATAATGACATTTAGTCGCAGGCAAGAAGCAATATGTGGTTTTAGTTTTTTGATCGTTCAATAGTGAATTTGACATTAATTTGTGTTGCACACGAGTACTACAGCGGTTCTGAATTTTGAGATTAGGAGCATTACACTGCAGGTGATTAACTTTGTTATTAGGCAGCAAAGCTGATGCTCTATTGCTCTGTAGTGGTCCTAATCACTTAATTGCGAGGTATGAGTCAGCAGAAGCTAGGTCAGAAATGCAAAAGACATAAAGCCTGTGCCCTTATAATGGTCTTTCTTTATTCTTGCCAGGAGCTTAACCTCATTATAGATAGATTCCTGCAGTTTGAGAATTGGATAGCTCGAGAGTCATTAACATTTCATAATCTTTAATATATTAAACACATAATTTCAAGTTTTCGACAATAGCCATCGTCCTTTTGAGATGGAAACAACTTGTGAGAGTGCTTTCCTTTTTGGGTTTAGGGTTTACTTATAGTTACCTTGTAGATGATTAGGACTGAGCGAACCTTCTCATTTCTTGCCCTTTTTGGTTGAAAATTTGACCAAGAAATATTTTTTCTTGGGTAGCTGAGGTATGCTTCTCCTGTCCTTTTGACCACTTCAGTTTTTCTACCCTGTCATCATCAGCAAATGTTAAGATTTCTTGGCTCATTATGAACACTTTTAATCACCATTGCCTTGTCTTTTTTAGTGGTATTAATGAAGCTACCTTGAAGTGTTTCTGTCATCTCTTTTATGGCCACCTTCCATGCAGCTTGACATATTTGTGGAAAAATCTTATGTTCACCATTTTCTTGTCCTTGACGTTGAAGCTACCATAATGATTTCGTGCCATCTCCTTCAAGGCCATCATCCATGCGGTCTGGTTGCCCTGGCCAAAAGATGCATCAAAACCTTCGGTTCACCTTTGTCTTGTCCATAGCATTGTTGTGGCATTAGTATTATTGAAGCTATCTTGTTGTTTTTGCTTCATAACTTTATGGTCACCATACGTGTTCCCTGGGACGAAAATCTAGCCAAATCTTAATAGCAACATGTTTATGGCAATTCTTTTATTGATACACTTGCACTTCACTCCTCATTTCTCTTTTTCTTTGGAAGAATAATTTTTGTGGTAAATTACTGAATAAGATGCTAGGAAGTTGTAGTCTTTAATGTAGTTCTTTTTTATAAATGAGAGTAAGTATGCTATTTCGTGAAAGTGAAGATTTGTATTATTTCTGCGAGAACTCGTTGGATTTAGTGTTAAGGAACTTTTACTTACTAACCCTTGTGGAAGATTTAGGACATACTATCGACCACATACTTGCTGTATGTTGCCAATGGTCTTAACTACCATGTAGCGAACAGTACCTTAGTGGTTAGCTAACAACTTAGCTAGGAAATATTGTGAGGAGACAATTGCTACATGAAGCACTGAAGCTGTGAGAAGTTAATGGGTAAGGTCCATCGGTACTTTGAATTTTGACAAAATAGATCATCGATATCCACTGTATTGCATAAAAAGGAACACATTGGGGGGTCAGTGAATAGTTTCACTTATAAGATATCAGACTTACTTTGGTTTTTGTACTTTCTTACAGCTAAGAAGGGTCTATGAAGAATCATGGGAAGATATCTCAAATTTGATTGAGAATACCCCTAAAGCCAATGTGACTATTTATTCCCCCCCCCCCTCCTTTCTTTTATAACTTTTATGTGGACTAAATATTAAATGGATTAGAGGCTGTAAGGATATATTTCAGGAGATAGGGATGGTTAATTATATTAACATATTATGAAGTGGATGGATAGATACAAATTTTCTTGGAATTATAGACCCCAAAGGCATGAGCATTGTGAATTTGTGATGGTGCTAACACATCCATGTTCTTAAATGTGTTACGGAGTGTGTAATCCTTGAAAGATTGGTGTAAGAGTTTAGTGACGGGTTACATGACATGTCCTGGTTTATTTGCTAAGCTTGCGTGAATAATATTGTGTAGTTATTTTGGGTTGTGTGAATTTTTCATTACTTGAAGTCTTGCTATAATTTCTTTTCGTCCCTAAATATATATCTTTGTCACTTTTTAAGATTTTTAAAAAATTCCACTTGGTTATGGCTTTTTTGTCTATTTCCAGATATGCTCTTTAATACTTGTTGCGACCTTGGAGTAATAGATGCTTTAATTGTATCATGTGTGTGGGGAAAGTGTACTACTTTGAAGATTTATTAATTATTGGGTTTCATTCTTGGTTGTAGATGTGTTTTGGGGAGATTTGTGTGGTCTTTATTCAAGTTGAAGTGGGTTATTGCATCTGGATTATTATTTTGGGTTATTCTTCAATCATCTAAAGAAAATATAGGGGAAATTCAAGCGGACAAGGAGTTTAAGAAGTGACAAAGGCAAGAAAGTGGGAGGTTTCTACGCATAATGACCAATTATGAAACGAACACTCTTTTGTCTAAAGATGCGAAATCGTTGGGGAAAGCGTCATTGTAGGATGTAAAAGGTTGTATTAAAGTTTGATGCCCCATATGAAAGAAAGTTGTGAATTTTGTTCTGAATAATTTCCCTTTTATTGAGGAGAAAGCCACACTTAAGGGCTTAGATTTCGATTATTTAGTGTTCTTCTAAAGGAATTGGTAGTTGTTCGTATTCAACATAAAAATAAAAAAAAGTAGTTGGGGGTTTATGACATATTATGGGTGCATGTTTTTTTCTTTAGTAAAGAAAAAAGATTACACGGCCAATAAGAATTCATGTTCAAAATAGATTTAAATGGGAGGTTTCCTTTGATTATTTTATATGGTAATTATTTTTGTAAAAATTTGTTAGGGCCTATTCTGATTGACTGAGCAGCTGAGCTGAAGAGGCCCTTATAGTCAATAGATGGGAATTCATACTTCAGTCTACTTATGGACTTTGATGTAGTTCCTAACCTTTGGTGGTATGAAGATTTATTGTAATTGTGAGATATGGAATATTACTATTGTCTTCAGATAGTTACTAGATCCTAGTTGGTAGTTCAATTGTTTGAACACTTTGATGTAAAGTCTGAGGGTGCTCAAAATTTCTCTTACACATATAGGGTTGACTATGGTTTTTGTTAAGAAGACGGGGAGCTAGATGAAGTTGTTGGGAAGATAATAAAGTCCATAATTAAAGAACCGTTGGTGATCCATTCCCTTGAGGCTAGAGGTATTTTAGCATATGTTTGAGGAGAAGAAGTTGAAGGTATTTTAGCATATATATATATATATATGATTCGCTTCTTTTAGAGAAGGATTTCTTTGAACAAGGATTGGAAGATGATGGTAATTGTGGGATCACCTACGTTCTTAAGTGGCGTGGTGTCATGGTTTGAGTGTTTTGAGTATTTTACGTCTGCCATGTGGCACACTCTTCTCTATTGGTGACATTAAGGCTAGTCGAGAGTGGAAGGACCTTATGAGCACATAGCAGCCTAAGCGTGAGATGAGTTTGTTTCTTGCTTATTGGGCTATTGTCGAATAGAGAGGAGTTAGAGGGTCAACTGGGGCTTGTGACGGTTGAGTAGCTAAGGTGATGAGCACATACGGAGGTGATGATGAGATTTTTCCATTTAAGGGTTTTTTTTTTTTAATCATTTGTTTTGGGCTGCTGGAAACATGTGGTGACACTATTTATAACGGCCTACAACAACTTACAAGATAAAGCAAGAGGCAAAATGGGTAGAGAGCTTGGATTTTATTAATTACTTGCCCTCTAAAGAACTTTTTGGTTTTACAATATTCTCCTTGAACACTGGATTGACATTAACATAATAATCTCTCCAGAGGCCTATAAAACTTAAGTAAAAGACCTAGAAAGCATGAATTACATCTAAAGAGAGCCTCATCGAACAGTTAAGAGGAGCAGTTCAAGGAGGATAAAAAGGGCCTTTGTTTTGTTGGTTTCCCTCTCAGTAAATACAGTTTAGATATTAATAGTATGATTTCGGAGAAGACTACATTGACTTTGGATGAGACCAGTGATAGTGTTGGGAAATGAGAAGTTTTTGAAGAGTATGTTGTCTGCAAGCTGTGATACAGTTATACAACTGTCAATTTTGAAATCATTGGTTTTGTGGGGAGCGGGGGGAGGTAGTAGAAAAGATCTACTGAAAGTTAGGTTCCCAAGGCACATCTACACTCCAGAAATCCCTGTTTTTTTCCTTTTTTATGTCCCAGTAGATTGTTCTTTTGCTATCAGTTGGGTTACAGTCTGTTTCTGATGTCTGTTTCGAACTTATACATTTCCAAAATCTGTGTTTATAGGGGGTAAGTGTGCTTGCGGCCTGGGGGTTTTCTTGTGTGTGTGCAGGAGGGGGTGTTAGAAGGTTCTTTGCGGTTTGAAGGCAGCGGAGTTGAGTGTGTTGTAGATGTGGAAAAGATCTATTTGTTTTGCTTACATGATTGTGTCGAAGCTTTTGATGTAACCTTATAGAAAGACAAGTCTATCCAAAGAGAAAGATGAAAGATTCTTTCGTTTTCTCTCTCTCTCTCTCTCTCTGACATTTTTTCTCTCAAGCTTGTGCTCTTCTTCCCTTTTACATTTTCGACAGCTGTATTGTCTCCTGTATCACCATCTAGTGTTCTTGACTCAGCTTGAGCAAGGCTTGTGGATCACTGAATTGTAAGAATTATCAGTCTTTCCAGTTTGACATGGTGTGGTTAGGTGAATTTCACATTGGCACAGCTCTGCCTTTCTGTGAAATGGCTGATTTTATTTTACTCTTTTTTTATCACTTTTAATTTTTGTCAAGCATTCAAGCCTGTTGAATGAATGTTTGCACACCGTCTTTTGCAAAGCTTATTTGTACAATTTTGCTATACTGCTCTCATCTTAGATTCTCAGAAAACCAGTCCATCACATTTTTGAAGTTATTGTTAGTCTCTCATGAGAATGGAGTTGCGCATCAGTGGGAGGCACTCTGCCTCCTACAGCCTTGTCCCAGGTTTAATTTTCATGGTGGCCTCTCATTGATTCGGGGTGGGGGTTGTGTACCTGTGTGGGAGGCACTCCGCCTCCTGCAGCCTTGTCCCAGGTTTAGTTTTCATGGCGGTCTCTCATTGGTTTGGGGGGAGGTTGGGTGGGGGTGGGTTGTGTGTTTATGAGTTTAATGCTTCACCCCTGTGGCTTTGGGCTGCAAGAGGCAGTCCACACTTTAGGGAGTATAATTGCCATAAGTTAGTGTGAGCATTTGAGATGGTCCTTGAATCTGTTTGATTGGACTAATAGTTTGCAATTGTCCTGCTGCGCAGCTTAATAATTGGACTTGGTACTTTTTCAGATTTATTGGTCATTGAACTTTATATTTCAAAATACGAAGTATGTATTTGTATATAAAAAAATTGTAAATTGAATTACACATCTTATATTCTTATTGATACCTGCTTTACTCTTTCATGGACAAAATTATTTCTGGTTCATTTTCCAGAATACTGTGAGAAATATGCCAAGCCCGAGGATATTGGTGCAGCACAGGAGGATGATAAATCCAGTGAGGAGGAGCTGAGTGAGGATGGTTATGCTTCCAGTGATGGTGATGATGAGGTGGCTGGCAAAGCTGACCCTTGAAGCGACACGCTCTATTTAACAATGCCCGCTTGTACATTTATTTAATCTAAAAAAAAAGAAAAAGAAAGATTGGAAAGTGCTTCTAAGAAGGGTTGATTTCATGGAAAATATCTGAACACTTCCCTTCTGTTCTTCCAGCTCTTATTGACCTTCTGTATATTATTGTACTCAGACGTTTTATGAATCATCGGATGTTATATATTCATTCATGACATTGATTAAGCAATTTCTGGATTTTCACCTCTAAAAGGGGAATATAATGACACCTTTCTTTGGTCTGACAAGGGCTATTGTCTACAGTTTTAGTGATTGTTTAGTTAACAGTTGCAGTTCTAGGGATGTTTTACATTCCTCAAAATTCTCCTGTGTTTCGCATTGTATTCTACTCTTCCGAGGAAACTAAATTTCTTAGAAGTTGCAATTTCCTGAGAATCTGTTAACTTTGCGCTTATGGTTGGTGCCTTCCTGCTTGGCTGACAGCTCCTGCAAAATATAGAGGAAAGCGAAGTGTAAGTTGGTTTCAAATGGGAACACAAAATACAAATTTTAAATGGCTGCAATTTGCAAATGCTACATTGCTACACATGAGAGTGATGAAACATGATAATGGATTATAGGCTCAAGATTTTTTTTTTTCGATCTCTTGGAAACCGGGAGGGGAATTTCAACAATACGAAGTACTACAACACAAATTATGCGTTGGATGAACCCGTAACCTCTAAAATACAAAGGTTTTTCACATTTACCATCTCAACCTACATTGATTGATGTTTTAAATTTCACATAATTAATATTATATATTTCTTTACTATATTAATTAAATTAGAGGTTACATAATTTATTTATTTTTCACAAAGATTAGATTATAAATACATACGAGGAAAAAAAAAACAATAACACATGAGACAACGCCTGAACCACACACTAATGATACAAAAACTTGAACATAATTATCAAATTAAAGAAGTACAAACTAGCAATCCGGGGCATCGCCCGAACTACACACTAATTTATCTTTTAAAATGACACTTAACAGTAGAGGTGATCAATATTGGCCCGACCTCCTAGCTCGGCCCGATCCAACCTGAAAATAGGGCAGATTTGTGCAAGCATAAAAACGCATTATTAGTTAAAAAGCCCGAATCCGACCCGCAAAAGCCCATTTTAGCCCGACAAGCCCGCTACTTTTTTACAAGTTTGGGCACGAAAAATTGTGTTAAGGCTCGCCCCCGGCCCGATTTTTAATCACCTCTACTGAACATTTAACACTCTCAATTATACAAATACACCTAATTAGTTCAAATTTTTATATTTGTTTCCCTATAAATTAGAAATTGAAAAATATGAGAATGATGGACAGCATACCCACAAATGTCGAAATTTACATTTATGTCCCTATAAAGTTAACAAATTATCCAAACTAACAATCAACTACGAGCATAGCATTTTCTCGAACTCACATACTCATTTCGCACATCATCCACATCCTTCCCCGGTCTCCTCATCCCGCCACCACCAACGACGGCGCCGATTTCATATCAACGATTTTTCCACCGCTCCCGATCAATCCGAAACCCTAATTTAGAATTAACAGATTCAAAAACAGATCAAATTAAGCTTAAATTTGTAAGAAGTGAAAGAGTGTGATGAAGAGGCTATTGGAATTTGGGAAGAAAGCAATGTTCTATGTTAGGGTTCTTTCTGGTTATGAAGAGCGTCGCATTCGATCTTACAGATTGCAGCTTGAGCAGCGTCTTCGATCTGTACTTCTCTCTCTTTTTCCTCCTTAAAGTTTTCTATGTCAATTTCAATTTTTGATTCTAATTTAGGGTTTTTGTTGACATTTGGTATGATTCTATATTAGGGTATTTTTGTTTCACATTTTTTTATGAAAGAGTTTAATTGGGTATTGTAATGTGAAATTCAGGAGCTTAATACCTAAATTAGACAATTAATGGAGATTTATGTTACTATATTTTGGGTTCTTTGTGAGATATTTGGGAAATTCTTTGTTTTTCCCGGATAAATGTATTGTGTAAGAAGGTTGTTGGAAGGATTGTGGGATACTAATTTGCCAGGTTCAAAGATGTTCCTTTAAGAATGACAACAATTATGCTGTAATTATTTGTCAACAATGTCGGGAGGTTTAGAGTGCTAGGCATACTCTACCTTAGCTCTAATTTGTTGGAATTAGTCGAATTGTCTTTATGATAGGTTCTTCTATTAGAGTCTTGAATTAAAACATTATGTGTTAATCTGTAGATAATTTTTGCTGGTGTAATCATGTACGGAATTAGTCTGTTTTGAAATGTATACATTTGGTTGTTTAGTTTGGTGAGTGTTTTCCATCTGCCCTGAAGTTAGTTTCCTAATGCTTACACGCTATTGGCGTTACATGTACTGTTTTTGCATGCTTGATGTGAGGTTGAGTGAAATGGTACCTTGAATGCGTTTATCAAGGGAGCATAAGCTAAGGTTTTGATGTGATCATCCTTTTTTGATTTATGAATTTGAAATTTGAATTATCCTAAGGAAAAATTTTATACTTCCTAGAAAAAATCAAGTGATGAGGGTGAAGAAAAGAAGAGTTGAGATGTGATGATGTGTCACATCGGCTGTGTGTGAGAGTAAAAGAAGCCATCCATGGCATATGATATAGAGACTGCGTAGGACCATAGATACACATAGAAGACCATGTGGGTAATGGAACCATGGGGTTGGGCCGTTGGGGTGTAGGGAAGGAGTGTTTACATTCTTTCACAGTGTGAGGTTTTCAGTTTAGCATTAACTCTTAGCCCGTTTTCCTACCCAGACTTTCTGCTGTACTGCTGCAGTTGCGAATTAATATTGCTTTAAGTTAGAACCCAAGGCTGTTTTTCTCACCAATCAAATGCTATGATAATTGTTTCTTTTCATTTGGAGATGACTGGTTACATCAGTAAGGATGATATGGATGTTATACCTGATTGATTGATTTTAAGGAATATGTCAGGAGAAATGATTTATTGATTAGTGAAATTAACATTTTCTTCCATGTGTGTTCTCTATTCAGGCACAAGAAAAAAAAAGAGGCCTCAAGAAAGATCCCTGAACAAATTATGCTGTCTGAAATTCGAAAAATGGTGGAAGAAATGCAAAATGTAAATAAGAGGTTAGAAGAGATGGTGAGTTTGTTTACTGGTTAATTATGCAAATAACTCTTATGATTGGACTGCGAGGGATCTTTTACTTGTTGCATGTAGTTATGTTGCTGTCTTGTTGACAGTATGAAGTTATGTTTTACATGTCTCTCTCTTTGTAGTACTGAAATTTGCATCTTGCAAGTTGTGCAGTGTTGAGATGAAATTACTACAGAGTACCTTTGTCTGGATTCCAAATTTCTTTGGAATTGACACTCACATTTATTTTCTTGAGATATCCAGAAAAAAAAGGTCTCAAATTTCTTTGGAATCGACACTCACATGTATTTTCTTGAGATATCCAGAAAAAAGGTATCAATTATACAAAGTACTCCGTATGTGCTTATGTTTAAGCATTTACCCCATTTGCAGACATGATGGTCAAAAAACTATAGTGGGGTTTGGACAATGTGACTATTAATCTTGGTTCTTAATGCAAGCAGTTTATATAATACTTATGTTGCCGGCATGACATCATAAATTTGGAATTTGTGCTTAACTTGACTACAAGGGAATCATATGTGTACCCCTTTACTATGGGTGTTTATTTTGCACTTTCAGTCGGGTTTGACCTTTCAATGAATTCAAGGCTTTTAAAAACTTCATTAACTTTTATGTGCAGGAAGGTGATATTAATGAGTATTTCAAGCCAATTGACAAAGAAGTGGGAGTTCTTATGGATATGCAGATGGAGAAAGAGAAAGCAAAGATGGAAATGATGGGTTCCATGTATAAACAAGCTCTGATTGAGAAAGCTGAAACACAGGCAGCTGGAGATGTAAACAGTGCTAACCAAACGAATATGGAAACAATGAGTGCCATGTTCAAACAGGCTCTGCTTGAGAAAGCTGAAGCAGAGGTGGCCGCTGAAATGAAGAAGTCACAAAAAGAACAAAATCTTCCTCTCTCTAAACAAGGTTAGATTAGATAATTATAAGAATTTTAGACAAAACATGCTATGCGATGAATAATTATGAAATGCTATGCTTGTCATCTGTATTACGAGGGACAGGAATAGAGTTCCAAGATAAATATTGAAATACTGAAAATCTGAAATTCAGTTTTTTGTTGAATGATAATTAGAAGCAGAAATTTTGACTGATTCATGAAATGAGAGCTTACTTTCGTTGTTTTTAAACATATGCTGATGGTTAGCAGATTTATGCTTCAATGACTTCAGTTTCTGAAGCTCAAGCTATTGTAACTATGAGTTCGTGATAGTGTGATACCCTAAAGCCCATGAAACCCAACAAGCCTAAATTTCTGAATGATAATGGAAAGGAAATGCAGGAAGAAAAGCATGTTCCTTTTTTCTTGAATGGAAGTAAAGCATGTACTTAGTTATGGGTGGAGCTGCTGAAGCATGTAAAATAATCAAATTTTATCATATAAAATGTTGTTAAATTACTATTAACATATATATTTTCACTCCTTCAATTCGGATGAATTGCAACACTTTTCTTTTCATCTATTTTAATTAATTGCAGCTCTTTCATATTTGGTAAAGGGCCAATGTTATTCCATATTTTCCTCACACTAACCTCACTTTCAATATTTTGATGATGTTCTTTTTTCAGTTAGTACCAACTAAATATAGCCCCACCAACTATACTTTATAAGTATATTACACTTCTAAAATTCATATTTTGGTCTTCATTCTATGCGTTTTCTTAAACTATGTGTCAAACCTTTTGCAAGCCCTTCCCCTCAACAATGCTATATTAACTCATCCAAGTTCCAATACGAATTTTTATTTTATTTTATATTCCTAGTTTATTGTTTCACATAAAGCACAGTAGGAGTTTTTTTCACGTACAGGTTCAGAGGGTTTTTAGACCTTAAAACCTCTACTTCAGGTAGTGGTTTTCTGTTGAAAACCAATACTTCAAGCGACAATTTTCAGGTCTAGAAACAGCTACTTCAAGTAATGGTTATGATGTAAATTTCTTATTATAATGGTCTAGAAACAGCAGTCTTCGTTTTTTATTTACGGAGTATTCGTTATATTAAGAATTAAATTGAAGATAGAAAGTACTATTAAAAATAAAATAAAATTGAAGTTAGAAAAACTTTAAATATGAATAATCTTTGACAAATATATGAAAAAAAATTCCATGTTTGACTTTGTTAAATTTGTCTTGGTATTTTCTTAGACTAGTATGGGCCAAATATTTAAAAGAAATTCAACCTTGTGATTGTTGTGACCTCAAAGTTTTGAGGTAAATACCTCACCAATTACACTAATGGTTAAATAAATATTGTAATTACTTTGCATTTTTTTTTTTTTTTTGAATAGAATTACTTTGCAATTTTATTGTAATTACTTTGCAATTTAACAAGGAAATATACCCTTCAAATCGTAAGGAAAGTAAACCCACTTTGTCATTTTGTCTTCTTTCTTAGAGACTTACCCAAGTGAAAACTGAAAAAGGTGGGGTGTTGAAAAGTCTACAAAGTTCAACTTATAGTAGTACCATTTAAGCAAGCGCAATGAATTATAGAATTGCAGTGTGTTAGGGGGAGGCATCCCACTTGGAAAATGACATTTGTGGACGTAAATTGGACGAGGTACAAATTGTAGGGACTTATCTTTATATTGTACTAGTATGAACATGTAACACATTTACTTATCAATTAGACCATAGGTCCATAGTCATTGAATATTCACTAATTATTTGGACAAGGTATAGACTATAGAGTAAAAAACTACAGAGTATATACAATGAAATACATGTCTTTATGTATTATAAGAGGTCATCCCAACTAATTTCTGTTGTTAAAAAAAAAAAAAAAAAAGTTTATCGTGGAAACATATCTTTCTTGTATTTATTTATATGTAGTACTCGTAATGTGTTATTATCATATACGAATACATGATGTAAAATATATAGCAGTATTTTTTTATTCTTTTAATCCTAATATTCTAAGGCTTTTTTTTTTTTTTTTTTTTTTTTTGTTCTGTATATTATAAGGTATTATGACGTACGTATTCTTTAAGTTATCACAATTTTGCGATTATTATTTAATGTTTATGTCCTTCTGTTTGTAATTTTATGCAATAGTATGGCCGGGTATGCACTTTTGTTATTAGTTTTAAAGTTTTCTAAAAAAAAAACGTGTATGATTATGTATTTTTTTTTTTTGACGGAATGCATGATTATGTTGTTATTCATAAGTTAACAAGAATATATTAATTTATTATCTCCAACCTTAAATAATCAATTAATCACATCAATTATCATATTTTTACTTGTTTAACAAGCAATATATATATATATAATATATATATATATATATATATATATATATATATATATATATATATATATATATATATATATATATATATATATATATATATATATATATATATATATATATATATATATATATATATATATATATACTAGTTTTGTGCCCGTGCGATGCCCGGGTTGTTTATTGAATTTTAAGATAATTTTTAATCTATATGCCAAATTTTAAAACATAAGACAAAATAAGTTAGGAATTGATGTGCTTTTGTGATGATTTAAACTATATAGTAGGCATGTAATGACTAATAATAATAACATTGGTGAAAATCATTTCTTGACCCGTAACCTGTAATAATGACCATGTCCGGAATGACTCGTGACCCGACCCGATTGACATGTCTACACGCATTAATAAAATTATATTAGATTGTAAAATTTGTTGTTTTAATTGATTAGAATATATTATAAATAATGGATGTGGTGCATTTTGAGCTAATTCCTTCGCTCCAAAAAAATACTATGATACAAAAAATAAATTTTTATTAAAATTATAATTTAATTTGTACATATGAAATATTGGTAGTTTATCGAAAATAAAACTATAAATTAACAATTTTATCCTAAAATTTTATCCAAATTTGATTGAAAATAGAATTCTAAATTAACTTTTTATATCTTACAAATTGAATTATATATAACTCTATCCTACGTGGCGCGACACTTGGCGAAAAGTTGGAACGCCAAGTGTCACTATCTCGTCGTTTGGCTAAAAGTTTAGTTATATATATATATATATATATATATATATATATATATATATATATATATATATATATATATATATATATATATATATATATATATATATATATATATATATATACTAGTTTTGTGCCCGTGCGATGCCCGGGTTGTTTATTAAATTTAAAGATATATTTTAATCTATATGTCAAATTTAAAACATATCATTGATACAAGATTAGTTAGGAATTGACGTGTTTTTGTGACCATTTAAATTTGTAGACATGTAATGACAAATAATAATAATATTGGTGAAATTTTTTTTGACCTTTTTTGAAATGACTCGTGATCCGACCTGATTGACAGGTCTATACACAGTAATAAAATTATATTAGATTGTGAAGTATATTATTTTAATTGATTAGAATATATTATGAACAATGGACTTGGTACATTTTGAACTAATTCCTTTGCTCAAAAAAAAATTATGATACAAAAATAAATTTATATGATAATTTATGAGAGTTATAATCTAATTCTTTTTTTGAATAAAATTATAATTCAATTTGTACATATGAAATATTGGTACTTTATCAAAAATAAAACTCTAAATTAACAATTTTATCCTAAAATTCTATCCAAATTTGATTGAAAATAAAATTCTAAAATACCTTTTTTATTCTATATAACTCTATCATACGTGGCACAACACTTGGCGAAAAGTTGGAACGCCAAGTGTCGCTGTCTCGTCGCCTGCCTAAAAGTTTAGCTTTATATATATATATATATATATATATATATATATATATATATATATATATATATATATATATATATATATATATATATATATATAAGGCTCATATAAGAACCCTCCTCTATATAAGAACCCATTATATATAAGAACTAATCTGGACCGTGGAATTAGCTTGATCTGACCGCTCAAAATGAATGATTAGTAATGACATTTTTGTAATTTGAAGGAGTTTATTCAAATTCTTTTTCCTCTTCCTTCAAATTCTTTTTCTCTCTCTAAAATTCTCAGCTTTCTCCCTCTCCTCAGTTCAACAGATTGGCGAAAGTTCATCAAATTCATCACGATATTTTCACAGATTTTGGATTAATTATTGTAAGTTTATTAATTTTATAATCAGATTTGTTTTAAATTTAATGATTTTTCATGCAATTTTGATGCGATTAATTTCATGCGATTATTTTGAGCATTTTCTATGTAATTGTTCTCAATATTGTTTAGCGAATATTTTGCTGCGATTTTGCTACGAATTTTATGCGATTTTGATGCGATTTTTTGCTGCAATTTGATGTGATTTTGTTGCGTTTTTATGCGATTTTTCTCAAATATTTCCCTGATTTTTGCGATTTGTATGCTGCGATTTTGATGCGTTTATTTCTCAATTTTTGCTGCGATTTATGTTCGATTTTTACTGATTAATTCATGTTTTCGTCAATATTTTTGCGATTTTTTGCGAATTTTCTATTCGATTTTGTTTTTGGCGATTTTCTATTCGATGTATATTTATTTTGCTCGATTATTTATCAATTCGATTGTTTGATTGTTCGAATTGTTTGTTCTTATTTTGATTTTTTCTCAAAATTTTCCGGCACAGGGGATCTGTTCACCGGCGAGGTTAGGGTTGGCTGGGTAGAGAAAGGTTAGGTGGCGGCTAGGGTAGCGACGGCGGCGAATTTGGTGGCTGGGAAGAGGAAAAGGGTGGTGGTGGTTTTTCCTTTTCCTTTTTTTTTTAATTTTATTATTTCTAGATTTTATATAGTTCACTATGTTCTAAGCAAAAGCAAATTTAGAACATAGCTATGTTCTAAACAAATTTAGAACATAAAGTAATTTACTACGTTCTAAGCAAATCAAATTTAGAACATAATTCACTATGTTATAAGGAAATTTAGAACATAAAGTAATTCATTATGTTCTAAAATAATTCAAGATGTTCTAAAGTTTTCCTTCTATGTTCTAAAATTTTCCATCTATGTTATAAAGTTTACTCTTTGTGTTCTAAAGTAATTCACTGTGTTCTAAAGTAATTCATTATATTCTAAACTATTATTTAACTATCTTAGCATGTTCTAAACTTTTATTTAGCATATATTAAGTTTACTCTTTATGTTCTAAAGTAATTCATTGTGTTCTAAAGTAGACAATCTTAGCATGTTTGTCAAAGCTTGTTTAATTAGCACTAGTCTTAACTTGGGATAACTTTTGCTTTAAAGGACTACTAATGATAGATTGATTATATAGCCAATATAATGAACCCACCTTAATGCAAGTAATCGATCATCAAATTACAATAAACGATGCTAAAGATAGTGTTTAGAAGTGCAAAAGGATATGATTAAACAAAAAAAAATTACTTTTGTGATTATCTCATATAGTTGTTAGTAGTTTTTCCTCTAGTTCAAGTGTTTTATATACATTAGCCTACTAGCTCAACGGGTAGAGCATTGTTTTGAGTTTTTTCATTAATTTCATCAATTTCGTTTTCTAGTTTCTTTTTCTTCTTCAATTTCCAGATTTTTCCAAATTTTATTTCTAGATTTTATTTCCTTTGCTTATTTCCAGATTTTTTATTTCCAGATTTTTCTGTTTTTTTCCTTTGCTTGAGTTTTTCAAACATCTTTTTCGATTTTATCCTATTTTGTTTTCCAGATTTTTGATTTTTAATGGATTTTAATTTCTGGTTGCTTTTTTGCTACAATTTGTGTTTTTCAAAATAGGTTTATGCATATTGATGGATTTAGATGGTGTGCAACCTAATTATCCTTCTTCCTGTGTTACTCATTCAGGTAATTTTATTGTTTTCAATGTTTTAATTTCAATTTACTTACATGTTCTAAAGTTTCTTTACTATGTTCTAACATTTATCTGTAATGTTCTGAAGTTTTCTCTGTATGTTCTAAAGTTTTCTATATATCTCTCTCTTTATATTGTAAAACTTTCATTCTATGTTCTAAAGTTTACCTTCTAATTTTAAATTTTTACTTTTTATGTTCTAATGTTTACTTTCATTGTATGTTCTAAAGTTAACCTTCTAGTTTAATTTTTTTCACTTTATTGTAAATTTTATTATGTATGTTATAAAGTAATTCACTATGTTATAAGTATGTCCCTGATTTTATATGTTCTAAAGTTTATCCTTGATGTTATAAAGTTTATCTTTGATGTTCTAAAGTTTTCTCTGTATGTTCTAAAGTTTTTTATGTATCTTTCTCTTATATTATAAAGTTTATTTTTATGTTCTAATGTTTACTTTCATGTTCTAATGCAGTTGGTGATATTTATCGTACTCTAGAGGTTGTTGGATCATTTAGCCCTGGTGGTACCACTAAGGAATGGATTCCAAGTGTTCCCGAGGAGTTAAAACCTAGTTTGGGGATGATATTTAAAGATCCTGAAGAGGGTCTTAGTTTTTATAAAGCATATGCAAATGCCGCTGGGTTTACTTCTAGGAAATCTACTACTAAAAGGAAGAAGAATAACAAAGATATAATTGCTTTTCAATATGGAGTTTGCAATAAGGAAGGTTTTAGGGCAATAAGAAAACCTATTGCTCAACAAACAGTTTATGAAGAAGGAAAAGTTCGTATTACTAGGAAACGTTTAGTCACTCGTGTAGGATGCAATGCTCACATATGTATGAGATATGATGCTGGAAAGTATGTTGTAACTCATTTCAAAGAAGAACATAATCATCCTTTATATACTCCAAGTTGTGCAAAATTTCAGAAGGATAATAGAAAAATGCATATTATGCATAAAAAGTTGATTGTTGATAATTCAAAGGTGATTTATTTTTATGTACTAAATAATGTTTTTTTTTGTTTTGATTTACTATGTTCTAAAGTTAATTCTTAATCTTAGTAATATTTTTTTTTTTCTAACAGGTAAATGTTGGTCCTGTGAGGTCTTATACTATGATGAAAGAATTAGCTGGATCACATGATAATGTTGGTGCATCTAAACAAGATTTCAAAAATTTTTATAGAGATTTGAAGGCTTTTATTGATGGATCAGATGCCCAAATGTTTGTGGATAATTTTCAAAATAAGAAATTGCTCTGGAGTGCATTTTTTTTTCCTATGATGTTGATGAAGAAGATAGACTTTGTAGAGCTTTATGGGCTGATCCAATCTGTCGAAAAAATTATGCACTTTTTGGTGATATGGTTTCTTTTGATACCACATTCAAAACAAACAGGTGATGTTTTAAATATAAATTTCTTTCATAATGTAATTAATATTTTACTTTTACATATTAATTTTTTAAACATATGTTCTTATATTCTAAATATCATGCCTTGTGTTCCTAAACAAATATCCATCATGTTTTGATGTTCTAAACAAATATTCTTTATGTTCTAAACTATGTATGCCTTATGTTCTAAACATATATTGCTAATGTTCTACCTTATGCTTTAAAATATATCCATCATGCTTTTATGCTTTAAACATTATGCTTTTGTGTTTTACACTTTATTCTTTGTGTTCTAAACTAATATCCATCATGTTCTAAACATTATGTCTATATGTTCTAAAGTTTACTTATAAGTTTTTAAAACTACATTGTATATTTTTAGTTTAGTGTTTATGTTTTAGAGTAATTCATTATGTTTTAAAACAACTATATTACTGCCACGTTTAATAATTAAATTAAATTACTATCCTCTAAAGTTTATCCTTAATGTTCTAAAGTATACCTCTATGTTCTACAATTTACCTCTATGTTCTAAAGTTTACCTCTATTTTCTGCATAAATAATTTGTGTATGTTACAGATATAATATGATCTTTGGTCCATTTACTGGAGTTGATCATCATAAAAAATGTGTTACTTTTGCGGCTTCTTTTGTAGCTCATGAGGATATATCATCTTTTGAATGGGTTTTCAAAACTTTTCTTAAAGCAATGGGAAATAACGAGCCTGTGTGTTTGATTACCGATCAAGACCCTGCAATGAAAGTTGCTGTTCGTAATGTTTTTCAAACTACAGAACATAGGTTTTGTATGTGGCATATTATGAAAAAGGTGCCTGAAAAAGTAGGTCGGGCGATTGCCCAAGACACTGATTTCTTGAAAAAACTGTGTTCATGTGTTTGGCATTTAGAGATTGAGCCGGCAGAATTTGAAGAAAAGTGGAACAAAGTTATTTCAGAATTCCATTTGAACGATCATGAATGGTTGACATACATGTACAACATACGTGATATGTGGATTCCAGCGTATTTCAGAGATTTATTTTTGGGTGGCATTATGAGAACCACATCTAGATCAGAAAGTGAAAATAATTTTTTCACTATGTTCACAAATCCCCATCTCACTTTGATTGAGTTCTACATGAGGTAATAAGTAATTGTCTATATATGTTCTAAAGTTACTCTTTATGTTCTAAAGTTTTCCTTGTATGCTCTAAAGTTTTCTTTTTATGCTTTATAGTTTTACTATTTATTTTATAATTCTCTTTTATGTTTTCTTTTTCTCTTTATGTTTTAATAATATTTAGATCATAATAAACATGTCATGTATATTTATATGTTCTAATGTAATTCACTCTATGTTCTACAATTATCTTCTATGTTTTAAAGTAAATTTCTTTTCTATAGGTTTGAATGTGCATTGGATGCTCAAAGGCACACTCAAAATAAAATGGATAATGATTCGAAGAATAAGCGTCCGGAGTGTAAGACTCCAATTCCTTTAGAGAAAGATGCTTCTGAATTGTTTACAACAACAATTTTCTATGAATTTCAATATGAGCTTGAAATTGGATGTTTTAATTGTGGTGTTGAGGAGATGAAGAAGGACAATGAGCTTTACATTTTCAATTTGAGGGAAGGAACTAGAAGGAGGACTTTTGATGTTGTTTTTTGATCCAACTACCTTTGATACCAAGTGTTTTTGTAAAAAATTTGAACGTGATGGTGTGCCTTGTAGGCATATGATTTGGGTGTGGAAGGCAAGGATGTTAGAAAAAATTCCCAAGGCCTACATTCTAAATAGATGGTGTACAATGGCTTATAAGAAGCCCATTTTTGATTTAGAGGGTAATGTGTTGGAGGAATGTATTAATGCAGTAGATAAGAAAATGTTATTAAATGATTTGTGGTCTGAAATTCATGCTTGTGTGAGTTTAGTGCAAAACAATGAAGATGATCTTAGTGATCTTGTCAAAAAACTTCGAGCCATGAGGGCAGATTTGGAACAGAAGAAAACAAATGGAAGCAACAATCTTTCGAGCAAAGTTAAAGACATTGAAATGCTTATTGGAGCTAGTCTACCTTCTAATGTTTTAATCAAACCTCCTAAAATTTCGAAGAACAAAGGCACGGGGGTTCATGTTCCAAATCAGGTCAATGTTCCAAATGATGTCCATGTTCCAAATCAGGTTCATGTTCCAAATCAGGTAAATGTTCCAAATGATGTCCATGTTCCAAATGATGTCCATGTTCCAAATGAGGTTCATGTTCCAAATAGTGACAAAAGAATGAAGAGTGACAGAGAAAAGTCTATTGAACAAAGTCAAAAGAAGAAGAGATTATGTAGAGCATGTGGGGAGCTTGGTTATCATGATAGTCGTAATTGCCCTGGAAAAGTCAAGTGATATTGTAAGTAAACTTTATTTTTAATTTTCTTATATTTATTTTGTTCTAAAGTAATTATGTTTTAAGCAAGTTTAGAACATAAAGTTATTCATATATGTTCTAAAGTAATTCAATATGTTCTAAAGTGTTTTCTCTTTGTTCTAAAGTTACTTTTCTATGTTCTAAAGTGTTTTCTCTATGTTCTAATGTTTATTCTTTCTGTTTTAGTGTAATTTAATATGCTCTAATGTTTAGAATATAAAGTTATTCATTTTGTTCTAAAGTTTTCCTTTATATTTTAACTTTTCTCTTTATGTTCAAAATATTTTCTTTATATGTTCTAAAGTTTTCTTTATATGTTTTAAAGGTTTCTTTAAATGTTCTAAAGTTTTTACTCTATATAATATCATGTGTTCTAAACTAATAGAAATGGCATGTTATAACATTTTTTAATGCTAAATTATGTGCTTATGTTCTAATATTGTTTTATTTTTTTTTCTTTACAGGTTGGTGAATATACTATTAATCCAGTTGCATGAGATGTTATATATTTAGAAACAATATCTCATTTACTAGCACGTAAAATATTATTCATGTAATTCTTAAAATATAAGAACTCAATTTATTTACTTTTAGAAACAATATATTTTTATTTCTTTTTTGTCCAATTATTATTCAGAGTATCTCTACTAGTGTTTTTCTTATCAATTTTTATGTTAATTAAAGTTGATTATAATGTTTTATAACATCTCCTGTCTTTTCATCTTCCCCCCTTTTCGTAATTATAAGTTGTTTTATTAAGTCAATTTGAACTACGAGTAATGATAGTACAAGCATTTTAGATACCTTTATTAACAACATTTAGTTGAATCTTGCTTTAATCAACTTTTATTTATTCAAGTTTCTTAACATTGATTTACATATGCCTTCTTAGATATGCACTAAAGAGTGTATGCATTGTATTCAAAAGGAAAAATAAAGCAAAAGTAATGGATTAGAAGCAGCCAGTTTAGAACATAAGCAAATACTTTAGAACATAGATAAAAATAATTAGAAGATTAGCAAAATCAATAATTTGGACATGTAATAAGAAAAAAGTACAACATAATAAGATATAATTAGAATCAAGTTACCAATTGAATGCTTTGGAATCTTGTTACTTTGGCTGTTGTCATTTCTTGTTACTTTTTTTTAATTTTCTTATGTTCTAATGTTCTACACTTTAAGTTTTAAGTCAAAATTAATATATAATAATATATCTAATATCCTAACTTTATAAGCATATAATTATTAAAACATAATCAAAAATACTTTAGAACATACCCATATAATTTAGAAATGAATATAATTTAGCATATAAGTTTATATGATATATTTTATATTAAAATTTTAGCATTTAATATGATTCAACAATATATTTCTTGTAACAGGTAAATACATAGAACATAAAAAATTACTGTTATATTCTTTGCAAATATCTCTCTACAAATATAAACTTAAGATCTTAACAATCATATATCCATTTTGTTCTCCTTTGACCACTTTTTTGATCTCCTAATCACTTTGTTCCGTTCTTCATTTACTTCTGCTGTTATTATCTTCCCACAATACTCCACTCTTAATTTTTTCATTTGGTCAAACTGCAAAAAAAAAAAAAAAAAAGAGTAACTTTTAGAACATAAACATAAACATTTGGTCAAACTGCAAAAAAAAAAAAAAAAGAGTAACTTTTAGAACATAAACAGAAATACTTTAGACATAAGCAT